TTTTTTTTTTTTTTTTTGTGGCTATTGTGAATGGGATTGTGTTTTTTATTTGGGTTTCTGATTGTTATTGGTGTAAAGAAATGCAATTGTCTTTTGCACATTTATTTTATACCCTGAGACTTTGCCAAAGGCCTTTATCAGTGTGAGGAGGCTTTTGAGATTCTCTTCAAGGTACACAGTCATGTCATCAGCAAAGAAGGATAACTTGGCTTCCTCTTTTCCTATTTGGATACCCTTGATTGCCTTCTCTTTTCTGATTGCTCCAGCTAGGACTTCAAATACTATATTGAACTGGAGGGGAGAGAGTGGGCATCCTTGTCTTGTTCCAGTTTTCAGAGGAAATGGTTCCAATTTTTGTCTGTTTAGGAGTATGCTAGCCGTTGGTTTCTCATAGATGGTTTTTACTATTTTGAGGTATGTTCCATGTATGCCTAGGTGTTTGAGAGTTTTTATCAGGAAGGGGTGCTGGATTTTATCAAATGTTTTTTCTGCATCTAATGATATAATCATGTGGTTTTTGTTCTGACATCTGTTGATGTATTTAATTACATTTAGTGTCTTGTGAATGTTGAACCAGCCTTGCGTCCCAGGGGTGAAGCCTACTTGGTCATGATGGATAATTTTTGAGATGTATTGTTGAATCCAGTCTGCTAGGATCTTGTTGAGAACTTTGGCATCTATGTTCATCAAAGATATTGACCTGTAGTTCTCTTTTTTTGTTGGGTCTTTACCTGGCTTGGGTATCAATGTGATGTTGCCTTCATGGAATGATTTGGGGAGGGTTCCATTTTTATCAGTCACCTCGAATACTTTCTGTAGGATTGGTATCTACTCCTCAAATGTCTTGTAGAATTCTGCTGGAAAACCATCCAGTCCAGGGCTTTTTTTTTTTTTGGTAGGTAGTTATCTTATTACATAGTCAATTTCCATGATTGTTATTGGTCTATTTAGGGTCTCGATTTCTTCTTGTTTCAACCTAGGCTGGTTGTGTGATATCAGAAAGTCTTCCATTTCCTTAAGGTTTTCCTGTTTTTTTCCATCCAGGTGTACATAGTTGTCTCTAATGATCTTTTGTGTTTCTTCCAGGCCAGATGTGACTTCATCTTTCATGTTTCTGATTGTATTTATTTGGGCGTTTTCTCTTTTTTTCTTGGTCAGTCTTACTAAGGGACCATCGATCTTGTTTATCCTTTCAAAGAACCAGCTTTTTGTTTCAGTGACTTTTTGTATTATCTTTTTGTCTTCTATGTCCCAGATTTGGGATTTTATTTTGGTAATCTGGATTCTTCTGCTGCAGTTAGGGTTTTAGTGGTCTTGCTTTTCCAGCTTCCTTAGGTGGCTTGTTAGGCTGTTGATTTGTGATCCTTCCATTTTCTTCATGTGCGTTTGTAGGGATATGAATTCCCCTCTTATTACAGCTTTCATGGCGTCCCAGAGATTTTGGTAAGATGTCTCTTCATTTTCATTTGTTTCCAGGTATCTTTTAATCTCTGTTTTGATTTTATTGTTGACCCAGGAGTTGTTTAGCATCATGCTGTTTAGTGTTCATTTCTTTGTGGGTTTGGGGGGGAGCTTGTTGGTGTTGATGTTTATTTTTATTCCACTGTGGTCTGAGAAGGTGCATGATAAAATTTCAATCTTTTGATATTTGTTTATGCTTGATTTATGTCCAAGTATGTGTTCAATCTTAGAGTATGTTCCATGTGGTGCTGAGTAGAATGTATATTCGTTGGTTGTTGGGTGGAGTGTTCCGTAACTCTCAATTAAGGTCATTTGGTCAAGAGTCACATTAGATTCTGGATCTCATTTTTGACTTTTTGTCCGGATGATCTGTCTAGGGTTGTGAGTGGGGTATTAAAGTTCCCAGTTATGATGGTGTTAGAGTCAATATCTTTCTTTAGTTTTTCTAGAAGCTGCTTTATGAAAGTTGGTGCTCCTATGTTGGGTGCATATATGTTTGGGAGAGATATTTCTTGTTGATGGAGTGAACCTTTTATCATTATGTAGTGGCCTTCTGTATCTGTTTTAATTTTTGATAGCTTAAATGGTATTTTGTCTGACATTAGGATCACTACTCCTCCTTTCTTCTGTGTTCCATTCGCCTGAAAATTTGTTTCCCATCCTCTTATTTGAATCTGTGCATGTCCTTTCTAGTGAGATGGGTCTCTTGAAGGCAGTATATTGTTGCCTGGTGATATTTTATCCATTTTGCCATTCTATGTCTTTTCAGTGGTGCATTTAGTCCATTCACATTCAGGCTAATTTTTGAAATGTGAGAGTTGGTCCATATCATAGAGTTCTTATATAGTTGTTGTTCTTCCACTTGGTTTTTTGTCTTTCTTTTGGTTTTGGGGTTGGTTCATGTGTATTTTATTCTTTTGCCTGTACTCTTGTGAACAATGTTGTTCTTTTTTCCTTTTCTTCTGTGTTTAGTACTTTCTTAAGTGTTACATGTAGAGGTGGTCTGATGGCAGCATAAGTTCTTGGGGATTGGATATCTGGGAAAGATTTTAATTCTCCCTCACTAATGAAGCTTAACTTGGCTGAGTAGATTATTCTTGGTTGAAATTGTTTATTTTTTAGTACTTTGAAAATAGGGCTCCAAGCTCTCCTAGCCTGCAAGGTTTCTGTAGATAAATCTGCTGCTATTCTATTTGGTCTTCCATGGTAGGTGATCTGGCCTTTTTCTCTTGTTGTCTTTGGATTTTTTCTTTTATACCTATTTTGTTTAGGCGAATTATTATGTGTCTAGGAGTTGATCTTCTCATTTGCTGTCTTGCAGGGGTTCTCTGAATCTCTCGTGTTTGAATTTTTGCATCACTGATTAGATAAGAGAAGTTTTCTTGAATGATCTCATGGAAAGTTTGTTCCAGTGTGGTCTCTGTCTCTCTTTCTGCCTCAGGAAGGCCAATTACTCTTAGTAATTGAAGTAATCGCCCATCTCTTGAAGGTTTTGTTCTGTCTTTTTAAGCTTCTTTTCTGTGTTTTTAACAGTTTGGGTTAGTTCTATATTTTGATCCTCAAGCTCTGAGATTCTTTCTTCTGCTTAGGTAATTCTGCTTTCCATGCTTATCAGATTGTATTTATTTCATTCACAGTATTCTTTATTACTGTTATCTCAGTTATCAGCTCCTTTCTAGTTTCTTCTTGTCTCTCCTCAATTCTTTTTAATCTCTCCATTAATGTCTTGATATCTAGGTTTGTAGTTTGAGACCAGTCATTCTGGGGGCTCTTCATTGTGTGCATTCCAAAGTCAGTTTTCTCAGTGTCTGCCCTCCCAGGAGTCTGGGAGAGACTCATATTCTTCTTTTGGTTTTTCTTCATTTGTGTAGATTTTTCTCTTTCCCCCTTTCCCTCCCCTTCTTTAATTCTGTTTTTCAGGGATGGTGGGGTTGCTTTTGCTTCGCTTATGCAATCTCCTGTTTTTCCTTATGAGGTTCCTCTGGCTTTGTTCACTTTTGAGGTTGGAGTGTGGGCTGCAGACTGTACTTTTTGCAGTTTTGAGGTTTAATTGAGGGAGAAGCTGTGATTCAGAATCTATCTGCTTATTCCAGCATCCACCAACAGGTGTGTGAGCACACTGGAACCTATTTCCCACTGCCTTACAATCTTTCTGGGCAGCGGGATGTAGGTTTTGTCCCTGGATCAAAAGGAGGTATAAAAGAGGAAAATAATGGTGGAAGGGGGGGTCACTAGGAAGTTAGAAAGGGAGAAGAGTGAGAGGGAAAACAGACATACATACCAACTAACAGGTGAAAAAGAGACAAGGCTGGAGAGAAGTGAAAAAAATACGCAAGCAAAGTTCCCTAAAGAATACTGGTAGCTACACAAAGACAGACCGATAAAATCATGCCTTTTGATGCGTTTTCTCTAACACAAACAGATAGTGTAAGTCAAAAAGCAAACAAAAGTGAGCAAAACAAACAGTCAAAATGATAAAATCAAAAATCAAAATAAGAAATTAGACTAGCTCTGGAATCTTTCCTATGTCTAAAGTCTCTTCAGCTCTTATCTCCAGCCTCTCCCCTTTGCTTTCATTGCAGGCAGCTAGATTTACTTGCAGCTTGGGTTTGTTCTTTTAGCCTGCTGCATGGGAGGTCTGCGACACTTAGTTGGCTGCATCTGATTCAGCGTAGGGGAGGGGATTTGTCCCCTGTTTAGCGACATTACCTTAGGAACCGAGGTGGAGGCTTGTCATAGGTGGTCAGGGCAGTGCAAATCTCTGCCTGGAGAATGGGCAAGGTGGCAGCTCCTCTTTTGTAGATTCTTTCTCTCCACTGGTCTGGGTCCCTGGGCAATCCACTGTAATGGGCTGTGGTTGCGTGGACGGCACCGGAGATCAGCTGCACAGCTGGGCGCTGGATCCGGGGTACCACCAGCAGACTGGGTTGGAGGAGGGTGTCCAGAGTTCCCTCCTCTGGAGCTGAGAGCCTCCGATCAGCACCTCCTTAAGATATGCTGTTCCCTTACACAAGCATGCAGTCACATGCTGGGTGCCTTAGCCAGGGTGCACCCAGAACTCCAGAGCTCTGAAGGGCAGGCGGTGAGCAGCGAGAGTGGTTCTGGGCCCCTCACAGGGTACTTCAGCCAGAAATGGAGCCGGTATCTCTGAGGGGCAGGCACCCAGAGCCTCTCTGGGTGACCAGCAGCTTGATTCTGGGTGCTGGGCGAGACGATGTAGCCAGAGAGGGAGCTGAGACCCGAGACTCCCACATGGGTGGGGGTCAGATATAGTTGAGCAGCAGCAGCCAGGGGCTGCAATATCCGTCCCTCCGTTGGACCAAGGGTGCCTGGGCCTTGGACTGGTGCGGCTGGCGGTCGGCAGGGGAGTGGGGGAAGGAAAATAAGATTCTTTTTGGCAACGCACGTTCAGAGAATCTCACAATTCCACCTATGCCATCGCCATCTTACTGGAACTCCAAGACTGACTTTTTAAAAAACACAAAAAATAAAAATAAGACAGAGGGAGTTGTTAGAATATGAAAAATAAAAAGAAACTGACCAAGGAGGTCGGCTGATCAGATATTTCAGACATAGGAAACTGATTGGTTTTTTTCCTCTTAGATTTCAGAGGCTTTGAAAAAATTTGGTATCTCAGCAAATGACACATCAATTCTAATTGTTTACATTGAAGAGGGAGAAAAACAAATAAATCGAGAATACTTAATTTCTCAAGTAGAAGGTCATCAGGTTTCTCTGAAAAATCTTCCTGAAATAACAAATATTACAGAAGTCAAAAAGGTTCGTAAGTCCATATTTTTAGAAAGAGTGTGATAGATGAAGAATAATGTTGATCACCAGTGCTCCTGTTTCTTTTTATTTTCAAGAAATGTTAACTTTTAAAATTACTTGAAAAGCAATTATAGATACAAAGAATTGCTGGGTGTGAATTTATGTAAAATATAATTGCAAACTTAGCTGATGTAACCATTCTCCATATTCATTAAGAAAACGGATACTTTCAAATATCAAGCTTAAGCGAATAAATATAACAGTAAAATAAATTTAGTATGATGTTAATATCTAGATGTATCCTTTTGAAATTGATAGGAATTTGGTTTTTATGTTCAGAGTTATCACCATATCTGCAACTTAAAGGTAATATTTTATATAAGTGATGACTTGCCTTGTACTTTGACTAGTTAAATAGCATTTGTGATTTGTTTTATACCATCATTCAATTATTTCACTTATACATGTTTGTAAAATTACAGTGCATGAATATTTCAGTGAGTCATAATTTGTCTTTCATTTTTACAGATATATAAACTCTCTTCACAAGAAGAAAGTATTGGGACACTATTGGATGGTATCATTTGTAGAATGTCAACAAAAGATGTTTTGTGAAATGTTATTAAAGAAATATTGATTTTCTTTTCCTGGTTATAAAACTAATATAATGTTCATTGTAGAAAATTTTAAAACACAGAATGGTTTTGAAAAGACTCCTAGTCCTGTCTTATTATTTAAGAGATAAACACTATTACTATTATTTGTTATTGTCTTCTAGTGTTCTGTTGTTATTCAACTATATTTTATTTTTATATAATTGGAATAGAAATTGCAAACACTTATTGAATGCCTATAATATACTAAGTTCTCACCTTAGTGATTTTCTGTTCACCTCCCTCCCCTTACTCTGGCCACTCCAGCATACCCCTTCCAAGCCTCTGGATCCTGGTTCTAAGTGTTTTACATGCAAGAAATTCATTTAGTTCTCACAGCAACCTTATGAGGAAGATACTGTTATTACTCCCATTTTACATACAAGACAGCTACAGGATTAAATAAATATTAGCTTGCCCAAGGTTATACAGCTAGCATAAAAATCATGTTTTATAAATGGTTTGGTTTTTTTTCTTTATCTTATATTTTAATTTGTATCAGTCAATGATAGACTAGGTCAGCAGTCAGCAAACTTCTGGGAAGGGCCAGATTGTAAATACTTCTGGCTTTGGAGGCCATACAGTCTCTGTTGCAACTACTTGGTACTTGGCTCTGCTGTTAGAGTGCAGAAGCCTCCACAACAATATAGAAATGACATGGTTGTGTCTCAGCATAACTGTTTATAAAAGCAAAGCAAGTGGTGAATAGGATTTGACCAAGTGTTGTAGTTTGTGGGCTTCTGGATCAGTTAGGCTGCAGTTATAATTGCAAAAGCTAATTGGCTGAATACAGCAAAAGCTTGTCTTTCTTACTCTGCTTAGGTAGCCTGAATCAGCAGGCACACCCGTTGGTGACTCAGGAGCCCTGTCTGCTGAAAGCTTATCTCAACGTGTGCTTCACGGGGAAGCCCAGCTGGAAGGGAGCACTGTGAGTTACATAGGAGCTCTAAAAGCTTCTATATGGAAGTGACAGACTGCTTATGTTTTATTGCCCAAAGTCAGAAACATGGCTATACCAACTACAGAAAGGGTAGGGAAGTGCAATCCTACCATCTGCTGCCAAATGACGAGTTACAAATAAAGCATGTATTTAATATTCCTGAGCACTTACTTTGCTCTAGGTATTGTGCTGTGCACTATTCATTTAGTCCTCACTGTAACTCTAAGATTTTACAAGTATGGAAACAGATTTAGTCTGTCAGCTCTTTTTTTTTTTTGAGTTGGAGTCTCACTCTATCACCCAGGCTGGAATGCAGTGGCACACTCATGACCACCACAGTGTCAACCTACTGGACTCCAGTGATCCTTCCATCTCAGCCTTCCAAGTAGCTGGAACTACAAGCACACACTACCATGTCCAGCTAATTTTTTTTTTATTTATTGTAGAGACAAGGTCTCACCAAGTTGTCCAGGCTGGTCTCAAACCCACGGACTCGGCAGTCCGCTCACCTCAGCTTCCCAAAGTGCTGGGATTACAGGCTGAGCCGCCAAGCCCATCCTGTCGAACTCTTTATTTAAAAAAAAAATGTTAAACCTACAGGACAAATGAAAATAGTACAAGGAGCATCCATGTGCCTTTCATATGATTCACCCTCTTTAATATTTGCTATGTTTGCCGGGCCCGGTGGCTCAGCCTGTAATCCTGCGCCTTTGGGAGGCTGAGGTGAGTGGATTGCCTGAGCCCGTGGGTTCGAGACCCACCTGGGCAGGCAAGATCTCATCTCTACAATAAAATCAAAAAATTAGCCGGGCATGGTAGCGCGTGCCTGTAATTCCGGCTCCTCGGAAGGCTGAGGTGGAAGGATCGCTGGAGCCCAGCAGGTCGAGGCTGCGGTGGCCAGGAGCGGCCATTGCACTCCAGTCTGGGCAACAGAGTGAGACTCCAGCTCACAAAAAAAAAAATATTTGCTATGTTTGCTTCTTTGCTCTGTCTCCTCTCCACCTATCTACACACATTCACTTTTTTTTTAGTTGAACTATTTGAAAGTAAGCTACTGACATCATGGCACTTCACCCTACATTGTGTTTAGTTGCCGTGTCTCTTAATCTTCTTTAGTCTAGAAAAGAATTTTTGTTTTTTTAAGTTGGTCTCACTCTGTTGCCCAGGCTGAAGTGAAATGGCACACTCCCGGCCACTCCAGTGTCGAACTGCTGTGCTCCGGTGATCCTTCTGCCTCAGCCTTCTAAGTAGCTGGAACTACAGGCACATACTACCACACCCGGCTCATTATTTAAATTTATTGTAGAGATGAGGTCTCGCCAAGTTGCCTGGGCTGGTCTCAAACCCACAGGTTCAGGCAATCCAGAAAAGACATTTTTTAAGATACTGACATTTTTTTTTAAGAGCACATTAAATGTCTCTCTGAGTTCCATGCAATCTGTATGTGTTCATGCTTAGCATCAGTTGAAGTACTTTTAGAAATAATAGTAAATAGGTGATGTTTGTGTCCTTCCTGGTGTATCTCATTAGGAGGCAACATAATGTCAGTCCCCTTATGGGGGATGCTAAGTTTGGTCCCTTGGTTAAGGTGGCATTCTGCCAGATCTGTCTAGTATAAAGGCATCCTTTTGGGGTTGAAGACCAGCCTGGGAAACTTGGCGAGACCTTGTCTCTACAATAAAGACCTTGTCTCGTAGCTAATAAAAAATCAAAAAATTAGCCAGGCGTGGTGCATGCCTGTAGTTCCAGCTACTTGTAAGACAGGTGGAAGGATCGCCTGAGCCCAGCAGGTCCAAACTGCAGTGGCATACACATACCATTTCATTCCGCAGCATGAGATTCTGACTCCAAAAAACAAAAAAACATCTTTTCCCCTGAGTGTAAGCTGCTGAAAAGCTCAGAATGCTATTTTCAGGATCAAAACTCATCTGGGTGACCTCAGATTCTGTACTCTTAATGACTCAATTGTGCTCCCCTTTTCCAGATCATTACCCTCAAAAACGTTCTTTTTAATCAGTGTATAACATGTTGCATATGCAATTATTCTTTTATTTTTGCACATTTCCGTTGCTTTCCATTTTTTACATTACTTTTGCAAATAAATCTTTGTACATATTTCTATTTCCTTAGGATATCTTTGCCAAACTAGAAATATTAGTGAAGAGAGTATGAACTCTTTAATGGCTTTTTACCACAAAAGGTACCACTTTGCACTCCTGATAGCAGTGTACAAACATGCCTATTTCACTTTTAACTTTTAAACATTTTTGCCATCTTGGAATGTTGGACTATTGGTAGAGTTCAATTCATATGTTTATTAATTTGTATGTTATGAAGAAGGTTTTGGGGGATTTTATTTCTGTTATAATGTTCTCAACTCGCTGTAAACATTTGAGTCAAGAGGAAAAAATAAAGGAACGCAATTTCCTGGGAAAGAAGTTAGCATAAACTCCACGGATCTTTGAGGGTGTCAGTTTTGAGCCAATTAGGCACAATATTCCTTACCAGGTAAGTCCAGAGTCTCAGCAGAAGCAACTTGTTAGAGAAAATTGGGTGCTGTAAGAAAAACAAGGGTGATTTCGTAAACCACATGTATTGTGCTCCTTAGTCATGGGTTATTCATTAAAGCAAAAACCCAGTGGTTTCCTGTGTACTCTGAGATAAGGTGTGAGGGGAAGCGGGGTCTGAACCCCAGGTGATTATTACTTCTCCCACCTTCACAGTCTTGGGAACAAACCAAGGCTGTGAATAACTACAGTGGAAGTCTCTTTCACTCACTCACTCTCTCTGTCTCTCTCTCTCTCTCTCTCTCTCTCTCTCTCTCTCACACACACACACACACACACACACACACACCCATAGGGACTGCTCATAAGCCAAAAGCTTTCTTTTTAAGACAGACTCCAGGGCTCACAGGCTCCATCTAAGCTTCCTGCTGCCACCTTCATTCTGCTTTAGCCCTTGGTGTCCTAATTCCACAGCTCCTTTGCAACTGGGGCCTCTGCTGGGTCTGCAGCTGCTTCTCTGTTCCTGGCTTTGTTGTGCTGTCTGCAGTGCCACTCTGCACTCATGGTCTCAACATAGAGTAAAGCATAACCATACAGGTTGGTTAGTCTCAGACTGAGCAAAGTTTGGATTCATTAAAGTTGCCTGTTCTTGACATTTTCATAAACTTTGTGCGTGGTAGCTTCCATCTTACCCTCCAGGTCACTACCCTTTCCCATTCTGCTCTTGTGGGAGACTGGCTTGTCTGTACTATAGCAAGATGTCCCCCTTCCTCCCTTGCTTCCCCCAGCTTTGGGTTTGGCCTGATGGAGGTGGGGCAGAGGTGGGGGGTGGTAAGGGGTTTGGAGGATTGGAGAGAGGGAGAGAGTGAGGCTGGCTCAGGTATTTATTCTGCTGTGTTCCCACCTCTCAGGGTAGCCTACTCTGCTCAGCAACTTGGTCAGGTTCCAATAACCCCCCTCCACCCACAGGCCTGTGGCTTCCTGTGCCACCTTTGATGTCCCCCTCTACCCACCCACACCTTCAAAACTCGTCCTTTGGTTATCTATGTCAAAGCTACTCAAATTATCCTAATTTGATATCCTCTTCCTTAAGAATTTGTTACAAGTTTAGGTTAAAGAACATTTATTCTCTATAAAGCAGGAACCATCATTCTAGCATTTCTGAACATCTTACCTAGGATGACATGTCTACCTTTTTTTGCCATGAAACAATTTGCTATAATTTTGTTTCATGCATCTCCTTTGAGTATCCTCAGTGGAAATCCAGGGCATTGTTCTGATGTTGGATGATTGATACAAGGTTAAGGAAGATAATGTTCTTTCCTGCAGCCTAAGTAAGTTAAATGATCCTGAACTGATTTTTCTCTCCTTCCTGATTCTCCCAGAACATAATGCTACTTGATTGTCTACCTTCCATATCACTGACCCATTTCTGGGCTGGACTGGTTCAGTCAGGGAGTGTTCATCTTAGATGCAAGCATAGGATGTTATTGACATACACCTCTCAAATCCCATGACTCCTGGAATAACAGTGACTCCAAAAATCTCATTACCTATTATAATCAGGTTTCTAGGCAATAGAAAGATAAATAAAATAGTTTATCAGGGTAGTTGTAACTGTTAATGGCTAGTCTAATTAACTGTAACGAGTTAATTGTTA